TCAGTGCAGTGCCTAGTACATGAAAGGCATTCACATTTATTAAATGCTTTTTGTTGATTATATCTAGTAGGAAAATAAGAAGGTATATACATGAATAAAATGCATGTCACATGAGAGGTATAAATGCAGCCAATCACATTCGCTAAAACCTACAACACACCCCCTGTCGTCAAGTTGATTCTGACTCATAGTGACCCTGTAGGACAGAGTAGAACTCCCCTAGGGAGCTCTGGTAGCATAGTGGCTAAGGCACTTGACTGCTAACCAGAAGGCTGGCGGTTCAAACCCACCAGCCACTCCTCGGAAGGAAGGTTGGGCAATCCTACTTCCGTAGTGATACTGCCTCGGAAACCCAAGGAGGGGTCACTGTGAGTCGGGGCCGACTCGACGGCACATAACAACAACAACAACAATAGAGTTTACAAGGCTATAAATCTTTATGGAAGCAGACTGCCACATTTTTCTCCTGTGGAGCAGCTGGTGGGTTTAAACCACTGACCTTTCAGTTAGCTGAGTACTTTAACCACTGTGCCATTAGGGTACCTTGGTATTTATTAGTGTTATGGGTATCTAGTGTTACTCCAACAGAAAATAACACAAGTGGATAACTTTAACAAACAGGGTTTATTCTCTTACAGTTGAGGAGGCTAGAAGTCCTAGTTCAAAGTGCCAGTTCTAGGGATTGGGTGAAGGCCCATTGACCTGGGCTTTAGCTCTGCCTCTTGCTTCCAGCCTGCTGAAGCTGGAGGCTTCTCTTAACTAAGGCAGCTACTGGCTGCTGAGGCTGACAAACCCAAGGTTGACAAGTAAAATGGCATAGTTCAAAGATTATTAAGCAACACAGTAGGCCACTAGTTCAAATCCCACAATCGGCAGGCAACATGGCAAGGCGCTGAACGAAGACTTGGCTACATGCATGGTCCAAGTGTGCCAAAAAGCTCAGATATCTTTCTCAAAGCTGCTTATATACAGCAAGCAGACCACATCCCTAAAGTAGCTACACAGCTGCTCATAGCAGATTCCACCATGGAATGGATTACATCCCAGTCTCATTATGGGAATAACTACCTCCAGTGCCCAGCCACTCAAAACCAGGCCCAGCCAAGTTGACACATAACCTTAACTACCACAACTAGTAAAAAAGATTATGTCTATTTTGGCGGGTTATAATAACTTTACATTTGATAGTGGTTTTTACTTTGCAGTGCACTTAAACATTTTAATGTAATCCTTACAACACACTCTGAACTATGTATTATTATCACTGCTTTTTAGAATGGAAATTGATGCTGTAGGATGTTAGGTAAATTAGGTTTTATAGCTGCAAGTGGCAGGTTGAAGATTCCAACCTTGCTCCCAACCTCTGGGGTTCCACAGAATAGTAGAGACTGAATGAAATGTGGAAATTTTCTGCATAAGAAATGAAAGTTGTGGGAAAGAATGTGATCTGTAAGAGAGAAATTATAGAGAAGTTGCTATTGAGTCGACTCCAACTCATGGTGAACCTCGTGTTTATCAGACTAGAACTATGTTCCATGGATTTTCAGTGGCTGATTTTTTGGGAGTACATCACCAGGGCTTTCTTCAGGGGTGCCTCTGAGTGGACTTAAACCGCCAACCTGTAGGTTAGCATCCAAGTGTGTTACCTGTTGACTACCCAGGGAATCTATTGTTGAGAAAAGATGTACAAAAAGAATCTTGGGGCATACTGTGTATAGAAAGTGAAGTGGCATCAGTAAAGGAGGCAAAGAGGTTGTGTGGTCAAAGAGTTTGAGGAAAAAAAAAAAAACAGATACATATTTCTGCATCAGAGAAGCTAGGACAGCAGTGAGAAGGGCAAAATCAAAGATGGCATAGCAATTAAGAAGTTACTAGTATCCTAGCAACTGGTACACCATCCGATCTGCAACCTATACAACTATGAGACCAGAAGAACTAGATGGTGCCCAGCTACCACTGCCATCCACTTGGAAGGGATGTAGGAGATCCTGCATAAAGAGGGAGAACAATGTGGTACAAAACTCAAAATCATTTGGAGGCAAAAAAAAAAAGAAGAAGGTGGGGACCAGGTTTGCTGGTCCAATGGAGCCTGGTGTAACCACTGAGACTATGGCCCCTAGTTGCCCTTCAGGTCTGGAATTGAACCCACAACTGTGGTTTCCAGCCAAACAAAGTACACGCATGTGAGTTAAACATTTACCTCAAGTAGACACACGCCCTGGAGAGAACAATCATGGGAGAAGGAAGGGCTGCTTATGCACAGGGAGATAGCTCAGGGTGCAGAAGAGTATGAAGGGATGGACACTGGGAGGAGGTAACTATGGGGAGGAAGTGGGAGGGGAGCTGCTGCATTGTAAATTTTGGTCAATGACATGAGACAAAGTATATGTGAACTGCTGTATGAAAAGTGAATTTACTCTGTAAATCTTCACCCAAATCCTAATTTAAAAAAAAAAAAGAAGTTACTAGTAATCTTTGAGAGAGCAGTTTCAGTAGCCTGGTGTAGGCAAAAGCCAGATGGTTCCAGCAAGCTTCCCTGCTTGTTCTTGCAGTTCTTTGCCAATTGGAATTTTACTCATGTCTCAAAGCCCAGCTCAAATCAACTTGAAGCTACATGTTTTTCCTCCTTCCTCTGACTCCTATAGCTGTTTTTTTGAACTACTTTTATATTACATATCTCATACTATTTAGTATTAGGAATCAATTTGATGGCAACTAACAACAAATTGGGAACTCTGGTGGCATAGTGCCTGAAGCACTTGACTGCTATCCAGAAGGCTGGCAGTTCAAACCCACCAGCCACTCCTCAGAAGGAAGGTTGGGCAGTCTACTTTCATAGTGATACTGCCTACCACCTCAGAAACCCAGGGAGGGGTCGCTATGAGTCAGATCTGACTCAACAGCACATAACAACAACAACAACAAACTCAGTATTATAGTTATTTCTATTTTATCTCATCTCTGTTCTTTTCTCACCAGCAAGCTTCTGAAGGACTTGAGTGTATTATGTGTTTTTCATCTTTCTGTGCCTAGCACAGGGCTTTCTACTTGGTAGGTACTCGATAAACATATCTTGGAAGAATACTGAGAGCGTACTATATCTAAAGCTTTCTAAATGATGCCTGACACATAAGTACTCATTCATTATTTGTTGAATATATTTATCCTGTTTTTAAAGATACACAGATACAACCTCATAAAATGGCAGTTTTCATGTGCCTTATGTAAATATTGTAGTAAAGAATATTAATTATATTTTGAGGTAAATATAAGCAGTTTGGAATTCTATTTTTTCCCTATTTATTTATTGTTAGACTTAAAATAAACATTTTGTGTATCAGTTATCTGTTACTGAATACAAGCCATCCCGAACTTAGTGGTTCAAAAGAACTACATCCTTATATGCACCTAATTTTGTGGGTTGGTGATTTGGGAAGGGCTCAGTAGGGATGGCTTGTCTCTGCTCCACATGGTATAGCTGGCTCTCTCACGTGGTTGTGGTCAGTTGGTAAGTCAGCTGGGGAAGACTGGCTGGTCCTTACTGAGCTCCCTAATGGTTCCCCATGGTGTTAGGAGCAAGTAGCTTATGTGTCTCATGTTCAAGCCGCTTAGTCCCTGCTTCTTCATATGGCAGCTAGATTCCAAAAGCATTGAAAGAGGCTCAAGGCACAAGCACTTTTCAAGCCTCTGTCTGTATACATTTGCTAATATCCCAGTTATCACTACAAGTCACAAGGCCAAGCCTAGATCAGTATGAGAGGGCACTCACTGTACAAGCATATGGCTTCAGGGAGGCATGATTCATTGGGTGCTATTACTGTAACACTGTCCCATTGGGCTAGTGAGGTGCTTAGGGAGAGACATTTCACATATTTAAAGAATGCCTTGAGTATTCACAATAACCACAAAAATAATAACTTTATCTACAATAGCACTTTATAGGGCACTTACTATGGCTAGACATTGAGCTATGCAGTTCAGAAATCTCATCTCTAATCTTTATAACAACTTTTATAAGACAAGAATTAAACTCCCTGATTAATCAATGAGAAAGTAGAGGTTCAAATATGTTAAGTAACTTGTTCAAGGTCACACGGCCAGGATGTGGCTTAAATTTGTCACATAATCCATGTGAGTGTTACTCTTTGGAACTCTGTTTTCAGAGTACATAGACAAGGAGGCCCCACTGCACTATTAGGTACAGGCATTGTGCTGGTCATTGGGTCTCATGGCGAACAAGACAGACAAGGTTTCTGCTATATGACTCTGTTGAGTTAGCTTAATTTGAAACAACTTTGTAATCCTTTCTATCTGTTTCCTATTGTAACCTCAAAACACCCATTACTTAAATTAGGCTTGCCCCTTCACTGATCAACAGATGTATGTATTTTGATTTCTGAGTCATACCCTCTCTTCTTCTTCCACCAGCTAATCAGTATTTGTCTTCCAGCTTCTTCCGTGGCATCTTTCCTTATTCTCTCTCTCAGGGGATCTGCCTCTTCTCTGAACTCCAATAGCACTTGTTGATCTGAACCAACCAATTTAGCACCTATCTTGTATATGATCTTATATTATTACCATTATTATGCATCTTATCTTTTTCTCTTGCTTGGAATTACCTAGAGAGCAAGGTCTTTCTTATACTTTTTCAGGTTTTCCTCCCCACCCTCCAATAAAGACAGAATAGATTCTTAATACATAGTTACTGATGAATTTTATATATGACACAACTAAAAATGTGGGGAAAGATTTCAGCTGTACATTAGCTGATTTGGAAATTGGGGTTGGAGCCTACCAAGTCAGGCATATAACTGAGTCTATTTTATTGCTACCAACATTTGCTAGAAATTTCATCCTAGTTTGAGTCCAGGAATTTACTTGGCTGTAATAATCTGTTTTGATAATACATAAGCTTTTTCTGTTAGCAAAAAAAAGACATACACACACAAAGATAAAATTTTCATACCTGCACTTGTTGCTTCTCTTGTCTTAAATAACAGATAAAAAGCCAGAAGCCATTGTCAACCATTCCAACTCTGAAAGCAAGAGTAGTGTCACGGAGCAAATACCGCCACCAGCTCAGAATACCTTCTCTGCCTCTTCTAGGAGAGTGAGTACTTTGAAATTAATATGGGTACTATGTTTCCCCCTACTGCTACAGCACACAGTTAGAAAGGCTTTAAAGATACATTCTTGCAAAAAATAAAGATACATTCTGGGGAAACAAACAAACTAACTAAAACCATCACTAAAAAAATTTGGTTATAACGTCTGGTGATAATAGGATATTACAAAATGAAAACTGTAACATAGGATATAATAGTCTGAGATCGAAGAAATTTTGTCAGTTGCCTATTTTCTTTGTATCTGAAGTTAAAGAATCTGTACCTAAAGTTCTGATTGGGCTAGGAGGATACCTGGCTTTCAGCATTAATTGTTTTGATGATTATTCTTTTGTTTACTTCTCCTTTAACATTTTGCTTTTGTGAGTAAGATCTTTACAATGGGTAGACAGAGGGCAGAGATAGAAAGAACTTGTTGCAACACCAGACACTCCTGTTCCTGCAACTTTGGCCAGGCTTCTGAGGATCTGTAAGCTGCTAGTCAGTGAGACAGAGCTGAGTGATGACCGTGCTCTACACAGTACACAGTTAGTTTTTAGGATAAGACTTTATCTGAGTTCTTTGGAATGAAGCTGTTGAGAAAGCTCTAGGACTTTATGTTGTTGTTGTTGTTATGTGCCGTCGAGTCAAACCCGACTCATAGCGACCCCTCCTTGGGTTTCCGAGGCAGTATCACTACGGAAGTAGGATTGCCCAACCTTCCTTCCGAGGAGTGGCTGGTGGGTTTGAACCGCCAGCCGTCTGGTTAGCAGGCAAGTGTCTTAGCCACTATGCTACCAGAGCTCCCTCTAGGACTTTATAGATATTAACTTATTGAACTTGTTAGTACCTGATGGATTAGAAAGAAGAGATTATGGTATCATTGTGGAAGTAAGGGAACAAAGCCTTGGCTGCTGACTTATTCCCAAGAGCATCTTTTTAAATCATTAGAGAGGTTTCAGATAGAGTGCAGTCCTCACTCATTATACCAGTTATTTAGTTGACCTCACATACTGCCATTTCAGTATGGTATGACTAGACTTCCTGCTTTTTTAAAAAAAAGAAAATTACAAACACACACATATACTTATTCTGCTTTGTCAGAATTCAGGGGAAGGTGTTTTTCTCCTTAGAGTCAGGGTGGCTTACAAAGAGCGGACATGATTGAGCCACTAGAGCTAGAGGAAGCCAGTACATAAATTTATAAAGTAAGACAACTGATGAAAAAGAAAGCCTGAGGATGAGTTGCAGACCAGTGATTAATGTTTTTATTGTACTTTCGCTACACCAGGTGGTAAAAGTGGCCTGCTATCAGGACAAAGACAAAGCCTTCTGCATGGTCCCTCCAGCCACAGGAAGGGACTGTTTGTTGGCTGATGTTCCAAAGACCACTTGACACCAAACTGGTCCTTGGCCTAATGCTTGTCTGTGATGTTTCCCCTGATTGGTACCAAAATGAGATGATTAGAGACAATGTAGTAAGCATCCCATAAAAGCCATCTTTCCTAACATTAAAATTTCTTCTTTCTTTTTTCTTTTTTTAATGAAATGATGGTGATAGAAATTGTAATCACTTTTTGAAAGATGTATTCTTTTGGGAAAATAAAAAAGACAGTAACCCTTTGACTTCTAAATTTTTTTCTTTTTAAAATTTTGTTGGTCAGTGGAATCTGAAACTCTGGAAACTATCCTAGATAAAATTATTTTCTTGAAATTAGCAATTAGAATTTGAGTGGAATTACTTTTAGTATTTTTATTAGTACTGACTTAAATCAGTTTGGGAGATCTGGGTTATAGTGCCTAAGGCATTTAACTGCTAACCAGAAGGTTGGCGGTTCAAACCCACCAGCTACTCCTCAGAAGGAAGATTGGGCAATCTACTTCTGTAGAGATGCTGCCTCGGAAACCCAATGAGGAGTCGCTGTGCGTTGAATCAACTCGATAGCAGTGAGTTTGGTATTTTTTTTGGTAAATCAGCTTATCACAGTAACTTAAAACATGTTTATACATCATCTTGTTTTTACCAGTCTCCACATAATTATGAGGAATGATTAAGCTCATTATTAAGGGAGTCCTGGTGGTGCAATGGTTAAACACTTAGCTGCAAACCTGAAAGGTCAGTGGTTCAAACCCACCAGCAGCCCGTGGAAGAAAAGACCTGACTATATGCTCCTGCCAAGATTATAGCCCAGAAAACTCTATGGTGCAGTTCTACCCTTTGCTATAGGGTCGCTATGAGTTGGGAATTGACTTGATGGCCCACAACAACAACAACAAGCTCATTATTACCATTTTATAGATGAGCATGTTGAGAAGTGAAGTGTCTTATTTTCAGTTACACAGTGGGTCAAGCTATTACTAGAACCCAGAGTTCCTGGTGCTCTAGGTCAGTGTCATTGCATAAGGGAGCAAAGAGAGTTGAATTTCTCAGAGCAATTCAGTCAGGTAGGACTACTGTTTTATGAGTCTGAGACTATTCATGGCTGAAGGAGAAAGGGAGCCTTGAGAGGTTATTAGCATCTGCCAGGTGAGGAAGGGAACATTGGCAGAAAGCCTGCCATGTATTTGCTCTCCTTGTATTGCCTCACGTTGCCTCACTGAGCTTAGTTAAATGTGGGAAAGGAAAACAGGCTGAAAAAGAATCACCAGGCCCTTTCTTTTTCTTTGCTTTGCTTCTTCTCTCACAGTTCTCCTCCAGCCTTTTTAGTAAGCCGGAAGAGCCCAAAGATGAATCTCCTTCTTCCTGGAGACTGGGACTCAGAAAAACTGGCAGCCACAACATGCTAAGTGAGGTGGCCAATTCCAGGGAGGCTCTAAGAGACAGAGGCTCCTCCATTTACCGCTCGTCATCAAGCCCTCGAATTTCTGCTCTGCTGGACAACAAAGATAAGGTGCATTTGGACAGAGTGTGGGGATAATTTCCAGCATAATTTCCTTCTGTGAAAATTTAATCTTGGGGGAAAAAATGAAAATACTTTTTAGTCCCTAAGTTGATTCTGGAAGCATAAAACCTTTAAAGGGACACATGTACATTGACAGGTGAATAAAGTATGCTTTTGACAAGGTTGATATTATTTATTTTAAAAGCTTTTCCATCTGTCTTACCTCATTCTTCTTTACCCTTCTTATTCCTTACCTCAAGGGGGGAAAAAAAAGAATCAGAAGCCTAACACTCTGGATATGGCCTAAAAGTTTCTTCTGAAGCAATACAAATAATTTATCCTTTTAATGTCTAGAAGCAGAACCCCTTAATGAAGCTCAGGCAAATTAGCACTTAGGAAAAAAAATGTAAACTTCTCATTTTTTTCATTATTGGAGATTTCATCAGGATAACCTCACAAATAGCTCATCTGCATACTCACCCAAGATGAATAAAGTTTTATTTTTGCATTTTTAGTTCCAGATTTTATAGGCCTCACTTCATGCTCTTCTCTGAGATTAGGTTCTTCCTTACAATCTTGTTGTTTCATATTGCATTTCTGGAGGCTACTAAAGGAGATGAGGCCTATTGGTTAGATGAATCCTGTAGTATATTTATTATGCATGCCCCCGAGGAAGTTGTATTTCAAGGAAAAGATAGGCTGCGGAATAAATGAGGCTGATTTATCGAGAGATTTGGAGTTGAGCTTTCTGTTTGTGGCTTCTCAAAGCGCCCTCCCTCTTGACAGAGCTGCTGCTCTGTAATTTGTGTTGCTCTTTTCCTTATTTGGTCATCCTGACTTTTCCCATGAGACTTATTTCCATATAAACTGGTTTTTAGTAGAGAAAAGTCAGGAAAGCCTTTGGAAGCTAATCTTTTTAAAAAGTGCTCAAAATAGAATTGGTATTGAATCTGGAAATAAGATAGAAAGATATATTGTGTTCTGCTTTTTCACCCAGAGTGTTGTACACTGTGTCAGTGTTTTACCTTCCCTGTGCTTTACTTGTTTTGATTTTACAGGAGAGAGAGAACAAAAGCTATTATAGTTCACTAGCACCCCGGAGGCTCAACAGCACAAGTGACATTGAAGAAAAGGAGAACAGGTAATCCTAATACAGGCCAAAGATGGCGCTTTTGACCTTTGCTGGGCATATTGATCTCCTGGCCATTACTCCTTTGTCTCTTTTCCTCACATGTCCTTAGTACATTCTGAAGTATTTGTTTCTTTTGCTTAGAACACTTTCCAGCCCTTACCCCCTTGCTTGGCCAGTTTTTCACCATTTAAGTTCTAACTCCAGCTAAGACATTACCATCTTTAGGAGGTCTTCCCTGGCCCTTCCAAGTTTTAGTCCACTAGCAGGCACTGTAAAGGTAGGGTCTACTAAAAATATTTTTATTTAATTGAATTGATCATTTTTTAATTTGTATATAGATAAAATTTAAAAGTCTTCTTCATCAGTTACAGTCAGCATAGGGATTTTGAAGTATTGCTGTATCTCAGAGCAGAAGGTAATCTAGAGCCTTGCTTTCAAAGTGGGGTCCTCAGACTGGCAGCCTCAGTATCCGTGGAAGCTTGTTAGCATTGTAGAATCTCAGGCCCCATCCCAGACCTGCTTTATTCCAATCTGCATCTAACTAAGCAAGTGTCCTCAGGTGATTCTGGTGCACATTAAAGTTTGAGAAAGACTATTCTAGTGAACCTTATGAAGCATAGAGGCCCATGGCTTTTGCAGCAAAGACCCTGAATTACCAATTGTGGCTCAAAATCCTACCACATCCATTTCCTGGATGCCTTTTCATTTATACTGCTAAAGGCTTCCAGCAAGTCCTCTTTTCCTTTCCCCTTCTGTAGTAACCTCTCCCTGAGAACAGACTTCCTCATCTTCTCCACTGCTCCCTTCCTTGCTTACTTATGAGCAACCCGCTACTGGGGACTGACTGTTTTTAAAAATTGGGGTTTTAAAAAAAGGAGCAAAAGTGGCTTTTCATTACAAAAGGGTTAGGAACATTTGGCATAAGGAATTTGGTATTTATTGAAATTAGTTGGCTTCCAAGGTGTACAAGAAGGCAGACAATAATACTGTTCTGTCCTTACAGAGAACAGGTATATAAAACAGAATCACTGAAAAATGTATCTTTTTCTTTAGTTATATTAATTTACCTGTCTGGCTTTTCTCTCCCAGCTTGCAATGATTGCACTATGGACAAAAGCTGATAGTAGTATTCAGTGTTGTGTTTTGTTTTTCTTTCGTGCCTCACAGAGAATCAGCTGTTAATCTAGTGAGGAGCGGTTCCTATACCCGACAGCTATGGAGGGATGACGCAAAGGGAAACGAAACCTCACAGACGATTGCTCCTTCCACCTATGTGTCAACATACTTGAAAAGGTACCAGTCTTGAAGGGGAGGGAGGTGATTTTTCTTCCACTCTGACCACGGGAATATGGGTAATTGCATGCCTTTTTATATCCAATTAGCACCACAAAAATGAATCAAAGAATGAATCACTATTATATTTCTTGGGATTAACATCCTGACTAATTTAATACTAAAATTAATTTATTCTCTTAACTGAATTAAAGTAAGCTACTTCCAAATTTTCACTACAGATCTCAATTTATACTCCATCCTCTCAGTCCTATTAAAATCTTCAACCAGAAATGACTTCTCATAATCTGTGGCAGGACTGAATTTAAACCACCCTTGCCCAGTAGCTGGCTCTCCTTTTTTTAAAACTAGAGTAGTTCTCATTTCAAGCTTTACTTTTGGAGAGAGGGAAAAAGGGAGGGACACTATAGGGTGGTGAGGGTTGGAAAATGGGGACAGTTTTGTATTGCATAAAGAAGTTTCCCATTAAGCTTGTTAATTTAGGGACTTGAGCCTTTTTTTTTTTTTTATGACTTTAATGGCCCTCAGATCCATCAAGATGTGAAACTCGCAAGTTTGGTGCAGAGAAGGTACATGGGCTTCTTTCCCCTTTTCTCGTCTATATTTCCTTTTCTGCAGTTATTTTCTTTGCCACTGACTAGCCAGCAACCAAAGCACCTTTGCCAGAGCCATTAAGCTACAAGATATACTTAATTAGTATTTTAATTTGAATTTTGCTGCTGATGTGGAAGAATCTGATTTTCATTGCTTACCTTGAATTCTTTCTTCATTTCCACTTGCTTAACCCCTCCAACTCCTTCTTCATGCCATAGCCTTCATCATTAGGTTTTTAAGATGACTAATTGGCTACCATAGAAGCAGGCTTTGGCATGTATTATATGAACAGGTTAAGTGCTTGGAATCAAAACTTATTTCCATTAACAGGAAGAATCTTCTCCATAGCGTATCCAGTGCTCTTCCCAAGTGTGGGTGCCAACTAGTTAATGTCTGAACACAGGAAGCAGTAAGCTATAAAATAAGCAAACTACTGTTGCCTTTTAGGAGCTCTGGTGGCATAGTCTAAGAGATTTGACTACTAACCAGAAGGCTGGCGGTTCAAACCCACCAGCCATTCCTCAGAAGAAAGGTTGGACAATCTACTTCGGGGAAAGTTGGGCAATCTACTTCCATAGTGATACCACCTCGGAAACCCAAGGAGGGGTTGCTATGAGTCGGATTCGACTTGATGGCAGTGAGTTTGGTTTTTTGGTTTTGTTGCCTTTTATTGTTTTTTCAGTTCTGTAGATACATTCTATAAGAAAGGGCTCAACTTTGAAAGTATACAAGTACAGTTCGGTGATCTCATGGAAGCTTTATTATACAAACTGCATGTTTCTGGCTTAACGAGGCTATCATCTATTTATCTCAGAGGCTAAGGTCTTGGTTTACTAGATGCACTGTTATTCTTTATGGTCAAATCCAAGACCAAGGAAACTTTTCTAAGAAAATAATATTCTAGTTCTAGGAGAGAAAGCTGCCATTTGGTTTCCAGGCAAAGAGTTATTTTATGATGTGGTTGTTGACCTTCATGATCCAAATCACCAGTTATATGGGTTGAATGAATGGCATTTAGTTTGGTAGGTAGAATCCAGCATAGTTATGGTGAACAGAGGAAAGAGGGGCTACCTCTATTTAGGGTGAAAAACATTCTTAATTATGTGACTACTTTTGAGAAAACATATAACTTGCTTCATACCTTTCATTTCTAAAGCTCTTCTTCTCTTAGAACCCTAAGATACTTTTTGATTTTACAAAATCTTATCTTATAATCTTTTCAAGATGAAAGAATCATATACCATCACCATTTATAAATGAAAGCGTGAGTAGAAATTTGTCATTCTCAAGCTATGCCAAATCCTGGTATACTTCCCATTTTCTAGCTCATCTCTTGTCTTTAGGTAAAATTCCTTTCACATGGCCCAGTAAAATGCTTCTTTTTCAAAGTAGGCCATAGCTTTTTTGTTTTGTTGTATTTCCTCAGATATCTCCTTACTATTACAGTCAAGAAGTATTTTTAAAATTCTAACCCAAATTTTTATTATTGGCTGTGCTTGAGATAGTTTTCAGTTGTCTTCAGCTGAAAGAAAAGTTGTTTTGTTGTTCAGATAATGCTACTTTCTGGGCTTAAAAACTTTAAATCCTCCCAAAGGCATTTTTGCTTTAGGCTAACTAATTGCAGTGCCAGAAGTCATTTTCATACAGAACTCCTCTGTTCTTCTCCACTCTTCAATTTTAAATCTTTCCTCTGAAACTTCCTTCATATCTCTGGTCTGTCTTTAGCTTTTTCAGTGCTACTTCTATATCAGCCAGACATTTGGGGGTGCATGATGTTTTTGCCTTGGGGTTTGTTGGGGATTATTTTTTTTCCAATAAGATTATTCTATTTCCTGTTATTTTCCTTTTTTAGCCTCTACTCATGTCATATATTCTACTCTCCTGCTTTCCCTTGTTACATATTGTATCTTCTCTTTCACATTCCATCACTCTTTTGGATGATTGACAGTTGCCTGCTTGCTTCCAGTGACCCAGCTATAGCTGGAGTTGATCACTCCCAGTTGTTGTACTGTCACTGGCCTATGTTGCTTTTAAGTGCACAATCTGGGTGGGAAGGTGGTGCTGGGAAATGGAGGGTGAGTGGCATGTCCTGAAGGAAGTGACTGTGTGCTATTTTGCAGTGCTTCATTTGGTAGAAGTAGTGACCCCACCAGTCCCTACATTTCAGCCAATCGCAATTCATCTCCTGCTACCTCACCCATTACCATTGGTTCATCTACCTCTCGGGGCTGCCAGGGGCAACCTGCCTCTTCTTGCCCTGCACCAATCAGTGCAAATACTACTGCAACTGTACACCATGGCAGGTAAGGCTTCTTGGAGCCATTTGAGTTGCATTCATCAAGCCTCTGGATACACAGTATGGGATTTGAATCAGGGACTTTGTCACTATAAAAGCAAGCTCGAGTTCCTGCAAAAATGTTCATAATTTAATGAGGATGCTTTTGCTTTAACTTGTATCAGCTGGTCAGCAGTTGCTCATTGAATAATTATAAAGCATGTATGAGTGTACTTGTTGTTTAGGCATCAACTTAATATGACTGCTGTCATCTCTCAAAAACATTTCTCTCTTACTAGTTGTAATTATAATTTAAGTATTGTACTAGTTTGGTAAATCAAGTATTAAAAAGATTCCCATATTTCATTTATACTAATTTTCCAGTAATTATAGATAGGGATCTCTTAGAGTAGTGGATTTTGGAAGACAGCATTGAAGTCCAAATCCTTACTCTTGTTCCAAAAGCCTTCTATAGCTTTCTGAAAATTCCCATCCAATGAGAGTGTTTTGGTTGAAATACTTTGGAAGGAGAGAGATTTGTGTTTATCTAAACTTTGTTCTTGGGGTAATGTCTTTGTGGTTTCTAATTCACCAAATAAGTAACATGGGCAGAATGTTATTGTGAAAGTGCAGCAGGACTTTAGCTGTTTATAATCCATTGGGTATGGTCAGAGACTTTTTGCTTTTGAGTTGGCAATGGGACTTTTTTTTTAGGGGGGGGTTTCTTTTTTTCTACAACTGGCACACAAAAAAAATGAAAAAATATTGGTAGCCTTGCTATAAGAATACCCATGATGGCAGTGCTTGATTGCTATTTGTTAGTTTACAAGCTTTCTTTCCCTAAAATAAATGATGATTGTTTATTTGACCACGAGGGACAGCATTACTAATAATAAGAGATTATTAATAATAAAAAATCCATTGCCGTCAAGTTGAATTCCAACTCACAGTGACCCTGTAGGACAGAGGACAACTGCCTCATAGGGCTCTCAAGGCTGTCATCTGAAGGAAAAAGACTGCTGCATCTTTCTCCCATAGAGTGGCTAGTGGGTTCAAACTGCTCACCTTCTTGTTGGCAGCCAAGTGCTTAACTGTTGCACCACCAGGGTTCCTTGATTATTAATAATAATGTCTTATAATTACATAGAAATTTGTTATATTCTCATAGTAATCCAGCTACATAGACATAGTAGATACTATCCTCATGTATGAAAAAAACTGAAACATGGGGAGATTACTTGATTTACTGTTAAGAGAGAGAGCTAGGGGAAAAATGAAAGGAAATTACTCCTTTACCAGTAACAGCTACCATTTGTTGAACCCTATTATGTGCCAGGCATTGAGTTAGGTAATATATAATGATCATATTGAGATTTGGCTTACCCACACACAACAGTAAATCCAAGTAATAGTGGCTTAAATAAAATAAAAGTTAATGTTTTTTTTCTTTCACTTAGGAAAGTCCAGAAATAGGCTGGTACAACAATTCCAAAGTCATTAAAGGATCCCAGTTCTTTCTGTCTTTCCATTCCACAATGCTTAGATCATGCCTTCCATTTCCATGAGTTGCTTTATTGTCTGAAGTAGCTGCTGGAGCTGAAGCCATTATGGCTGCGTTCTAGCCTGAAAGAAGGAAGGAGGGGCAAGGGTGCAAAAAGAACATGCAGCTGAACTGAGAATTTTCCCAGAAGCACTCCCCAAGAGTTTTCTGCTTATGTCTCATATAACCACCAGTGGCCAGGGAGACCTTGGGAAATGTGGGTTTGTGACTATCTTACTGCCTTTAGTAATACAGGGGTTCTGTTAATGAGGAAGAGGGAGAATAGATATGCATTAGGAAACTACCTGTCTCAGTCTCATAAAGAGTTCCTAGAGTATAGAAGTATTCATGTCATTTTATGGACAAGGAAATTGAGAACAAAGATTAATCATCTGCCCAAAGTCACACAGCTTAATAAGGAACTGAGTTAGGAACTGAGCCTGTCTGTCCATTTGGAAGCTCTTGGCTATTTCATTATTTTGCTTTCATTGAGTTTATATTGTATTCCAAGCACTATATTAAGTGTTCTACATACATTATTTAATCACAGGAACCTTGCATTTTAAAGTGTCATCCCTATTTTACAGAAAGAAGCAGCTATTAGAGAGGTTACATTGGCTTAAATTTAACCTCAAGTGGTTTCAAAACCCCTATTTATTCTGTTCCTACCAACCTATTTGTAAACTCATACCAGATTTTAAAATAATAGTAAAGGTTCTATTATATACTTTCATTCACTCAGTCACTGCCACCAAGTTGATTCAGACTCATAGCAACCCCCATTTGGTTTCCAAGGCTGTAAATCGTATGGAAGTAGACTGCCTCTTCTTTCTTCCTCAGAGCAGCTGGTGGGTTTGAACCACTCACCTTTTGCTTAGCAGCCAAATGCCTTAGCCACTACACCACCAGAGCTCCTATTATATATTTTACTAAAATAAAATCCCTGGCATTTTTACATCATCAGAAATTGTTTCATTGTTTTTATTTCCTTTTTTCACAACAGCCTGCAGTACTGTGGCAGAGAGACTAAAACATGCCATTAACCTAAAAATAACTTTATTCATTTTAGGCTTTTGATAAGTATAGTTTTTATAGTTTTGTTTCTACATAGTTTTATTAGTACTATACACACACACACACACACATATATAAAGCCTGAGGAATTGTTTGCCTTCAACTTTTTAATTAAAAAATGAAGATAAAATTTCACCTTTTCTTCTGAGCCATTAATTGCTTCTGGAGAAGTAGCTTTTATTTTTCAGGCACTACTGCCATCTTCAAAAGTGTTCTAATTTTGTATTTATATCTACATACTATATTTAGATTTTATAATCTGATTTTTCCAAGTTATTTTAATAATGTGATTATTTGGAAGTGAGTTTATAGCTACTTATAAACATTTCTGGTCATAATTGTGTATAGGTAAAAAAAGAAAAAAAACAGGTTTTTAAAAATTCTTGCTTTTCATGGCTTTTCCCATCTCTGGGAGTATCAATTTTGGGTCTTTGTTACCCCAGCAACAAGCTGTGATAGCACAAATGATAGCTTTTTTGGGTGGAGAGCCAATGGTTGCTTCCAACTCATTTAAGAAACAAAGATCTTGTTTTCATGTAAACGACTTAATTATACAGCTTGCTGTTAGAAAAATCTGTAGTACAGATTATATATAGAATCCTGGGTAATTTTTTTTTTTTTTTTAAGTTTCTCACGCAGTTACGAATACAGACAAACATTTGGCTAAGTGGGAAGGGAACAGTTACTGAGCTAGGTGAGGGAAAACTAAACACACTGAGGTTGTAGAGCATTTATCGAACGTCTGGATAATTCAAGAGGATGGTCATCAAATCTAGACTGAGGACTACCACAAAGTCGCCCACTGCCAACAATTAAAAGGGCAGGTGGAGACTAATATTGTAAGTGACTTACATGTCTTTTTCATGGATGGACAGACCCTGTCTCTGTGTGCACATATAGCAACCAGAGGGTACTGAGGAGTCCTTTAAGGCTCTCTTGCATGCATCCCTCTCTTGCCTGTCCCATTGCTAAGGTTTTGTTTTTTATTTATTTACATAGTCTCAGGCAAAAGTATAAAATACCTCATAAAATAGAACTTCTCAGACAGAGGATGGGAGATTGAATGCATAATGGTACTGTTCCAAGATTTAACATCTCAGAATTTTAAAAACCAATCAGTCCACCCACCAACAAATATCTGAGCAAGAATTTCTAGTGAAACCTGACTATCTCTAACCCTTCTGTCTCTGTGCCTGATGTTTGTTCTAGCATACCTGACCCTTTTTTTCCCCCCGCTTGTGTCTTTTTAATAATTATTTCAGGACTCCTTACAAATCCCAGGCTGACTCAACAGCAGAGAAAACAGCAGACAGTGTTTCTTCTAGCACTCCGCTGTGTGTGATCACTAATCGCCCTCCACATAGCACTGCCAATGGGGTGACATCTGCCAACGTACTCTCGACCACTGGAACAGACTCCTCTGTGGAAGCCAGGGAGAGAAGAAGGTATACTATGTTGATGATTTGATTTGTGGGGTTCTGCTTTGGGGGGGAGATTAAGGAATGGGTGTGAAGTCTTTCCCCAATCTCAAAGAAATATATTAAAGTAGATCTTTATATTATAGTTTGGGTTCTTCCTTTTGTATCTGGGAGGTTTTTGGTAGAGAGCTTAATTATTTCTGATCATTAACAGATACTGCTCCTATTGTGCATATATTGTTGTTGTCAGCTGCTATCCAGTTGGCCCTGACTTGTAGTGACCCCATACACAACAGCATCAGACTGTTACAGTCTATAGGATTTTCAGGCTTTTTTTTTTTTTTCTATTTGTTTTGTAAGAGAGAAAATTGTCAGACACTCTTTCCCCATTTTGTGATGGAGAACCTGAAGCAGAGAGAAGGATCTTTTGTTTTGTTCTAGGTTGTCTATGATAACTTCTCTGGCAGCAAAGAGAGGCAACAGTATGATTAAAGGCTCAGACAAACTGAGTTAGAATATGCATTTTTATTAATTAATTAATTTGAGAAAAATAATAGGAAAAAGAATAATAGTACCAGTAAAACCTGCAAAAGCTAGAGCCTGTGTAAGACAGAAACCTGTCAGAGAAGGGAAATGCAAATATTTTCCACTATATTGAGTGATAGAAAAGCGCTGAGACTGCACCCTGTCAAAGATGGCAAACTTGTGAGACCCAGAAGAAACAAGGCAGTCCCATTGGGTTCTGGCTTGCGCAGGTTACCCTGTATGTATAAGGATGGATAATGACTGGCTGGCTATTATCCAGTTTCTTCAGAGAGAAATTTTGAGAGAGCAGTTGTGAATTGACATAAAGAAAAAAATTAGGAGCTCTGGTGGCATAGTGCCTAAAGCATTTGACTGCTAACCAAAAGGCTGGTGGTTCAAACCTACCAGCCACTCCTTAGAAGGAAGATTGGGCAGTGAATTGACATAGGGTAGATTTAAGGTTTTGATTATCAAGATGAAGAGACGTTAGAAGATGTGACCAAGGTAGATTGGGCTATTCCATTTTGTTGTTGTTGTTGTTATGTGCTGTTGAGTTGGACCTGACTCATAGCAACCCCTCCTTGGGTTTCTGAGGCGGTATCACTACGGAAGTAGATTGCCCAACCTTCCTTCTAAGGAGTGGCCAGTGGGTTTGAACCGCCATCCTTCTGGTCCATTTTAATAGGTGTAAAAACTGGAATGCACTCCATTTGGGAATTTCAGATCCACCTGAAGACTGAGGCTATAATTAGCCCTTTGTTAGGAGTAGAAAACAGGTGAAATCTTATAAAAATTTAGATTTGCTTGACTTAATTTTACTTTTGAATAACTCATGTTAATGAATGTGTGTGTGTGTGTGTGTGTGTGCGTAGTAAGTTAAGAAATCTTATCATTTAAAGATGCAATAAGATTTTGTTGTTTTTTTAAAACAGAAAAGTTTACATAGCATATTAGGTTCCCATTTGACAATTTCTATGGAAATTGTTCAGTGGCATTATTTTCATTTTTATGATGTGTTAACATTCTTTTTAATTCCATTCTGGTTGTTCCATTTCCAGTGCTCTAGTTTCCCTGCCCCCTTATCTTCTCATTTTTCCTTTAGAGTAGTTGTTGACCTTTTGGTCTCATATGGTAGTTTTTTTTAATGGAGCACCATTCTTACAGTTATCCCTCATTTTGTATTATTTTACTAAAAGGTGACCTCAGAGGATAGTTTTGGTTCAGGGTTTGAGTATCTCTTCAAACTTGAGGCAGTAGTCTCAGAACATCCTCTAGTCTCAGCTGGTCCAGTAAGTGTGGACTTTTTAAGAATTTGAATTCTGTTCTGCACTTTTCTCCCCTTCTACCAGTGTCCATCTTTTTGGCCCTGATCAGAATGGTCAATAGTGGTAGCCAGGCACCATCTAGTTCTTCTGGTCTCAGAGTAGATGAGGCTTTCGCTCTTGTAGGCTGTTAGCCCTATAGACTAGTTTCTTCTCTGAGTCTTTGTTTCCTTCTTTATCTTTTGTTTCTGAGTAGTAGAGACCAATAGTTTATCCTAAATGGCTGCTTGTAAACTTTTAAGACCCCAGATGCTACTTACTTTAGTAGGATGCAGAACATGAACTCTGTGAACTGTGGTATGCCAACTGACTGAGTTCTCTCATGAGACTAAGGTTCTAAGTCTTCAAACCCAGGCAACCAGTCTCATACAGTGTTTGGTTATGTCTGAAAAGTGTGTCCTCTATGAATATATATATATGCATATACACATACATATGGATGCTTCTTTCTGTACCCACATATGTACATATCTGTACCTACCCAAACACATATATCGGTATTATTATACACATATATATGTATGGGACCGTGGTGGTTATATTTTTGTGTCAACTTGGCCAGGCCTGGTTGAGTGGCTGGGCAGCTGGATGTAGTATTCCTCATGATGAGACTGGTAATCAACTCCATGGTGGAATCTACTGTGAGCAGCTGAGTAGCTGCCTTAGGGAATGTGGTCTGCTTCCTGTATTTGAGCAGCAGCCTTGGGAGATGGTCTCGAGCTTGTGGCACACTTGGACCCTGCGTGTAGGCATGTCGTTGCACAGCAGCCTGCTATGCTCTGCCGACCTTGGGAATTACAATGGACTTAAGTTAATGGCCTGCTGTGCGGTTTGGTAACATCAGGACTGTGCCTTTTTGACTTGTCAACCTTGGGGCTTCTCAGCCTCAGCAGTCAGCAGCTGTGGAGTAGCTGGTGGGTTTGAACCCCAAACCTTCTGGTTAGCAGTCACATGCCTTAGGCACTACAAAAGTGTTTTCCTTCCTTCTTCTCTCACTCCCTTCCTTTTTTTTTTTTTTCCATTTCTTTACATCAGTGAAGGAAACTAATATTCTGGACTAACAGATTTCAGAGCCAACCACTGTTTTCTTTTCACTGGTTTCCATCTAAGGTAGTGGTAACAAATCAATCTTGGATATTTAATGCTTGGGTATTTAATAGCTCAAATGTAATTTAGATAACTATTAGTTTCATCTAGAAACTAAATGCAAAAGTAGTATTTGTTGTTAACTGGGGAAAAAAAAATTTCCCTCTGAGCTGAGAGAAGTAAAATGAATTAAATTCATCATTAAGATCATGATCCTTGAAAGGATAGGGAAATTGAATTCTTTATCATATTAACTTTTTAATTGCCTACTTGCACTATTACTAAGTTCCTAGAGAAATTTTGGGAGCTGGTTACTGCCTTTTGGGAATTTTATAACGTAGGATCAATAAGATAACACATGCTACAGATTTTTATTTTTGCTTTATAAGTTTTATTAAATTTCACAAACATTTATTATCTAAAGCTGAAATTCTCAAAGAGGTACCTGTTTCATGAAAAGGGTACTTTGCCCATGGCCCAAAGAATTGGCAAAGAAGGACTCTATCCAAGGCTCTGGGGAGGGGCAGAAAAGTCTTTTGGGAGAAATTTTCCCTACTCATGTAGTTTGGAAATTCCAGGCCAAGAATTTTACGCAGAAACTTGGCCTGTATTCTTGAACCTTTGGAGTCCTGGCATAAACAAATTGAAAACCACCTTGAAGGAACACATCTACAATTGAGGGTACCAGGGATTTCCATAAAAAAGTTTCTACCACAATGAACTGAAGATGAACCATCACAATGCAGTGAAAACACTGAAGGAAATGAACTGCCATGAGGGAGGGTCAATAGAGGGTCAATAGATGTTCTAAGATAGACTCATAGATATAGACAAATGTGTAATAGAATTTTGAATGCACAACAAAAATTTCAAACTATTATTTGAGTAGATAGCAGTTATTTGGAGTGAACAGCTATACTAGACATAGGATCAGTTAGGTAAATGAATCAAGCATGGTTTTAAAAATACAAGAGTTTACAAATATAGTATTGTGTCTATTGTAGAGGTCGAATTAAGTGGGAACATAATATAAAGCATCCGTCAACCATTTATTGAAGGACTACTAGCTGCTGTACAGAGGCACTGTGTTAGACTGGGTTGTCTAGAGAAACAAAACCAATAAAGCTTATACAGCAAGAGAGAAAGAGAAATTTATGTTAGGAAAATGGCTCACACACTTACAGAAGATGGCAAGTCCCAAGTTCTTGGATCAAATGTCAAGCTGGAGGCTTTTCCCAACTCATGCAGCTGCAGGGGCTGAGGAACTTAAGATTGACAGGCAGTGTACTGACTGTTGACTCCAACGAATGACGAATCCAAGATCTCCAGGCCGAATGGTGGATTGTTCACTCATGGACAGCTGTAGGCAGCACAACAGGATCTCAATCGACAGAAGAGTGTCTCTTTTCCCAGGATGTCCATAAATATATTGGAAGCAGGCCACACCCCTAGGAAAACTCCCTTTCAAGGATTGGCTGCTCAAAACATACATCTGAACCCATCGTGGGAACAACCCACATCACAATTGCTTAAACCACACAGAATTGTGGTCCAGCCAAGTTGGCACACAGCTCCAACTATCACAGGCACTAATGCTACAAGGTCAAAGAAACCATTTTTCTTGCCCTTACCAAACTAAGGCTTACCCACTACCATCAAGTTGATTCCAATTTATAGTGACCCCCATTGAGTTTCTAAGGCTGTAAATCTTTATGGAAGTAGGTTGTCTCATCTTCCTCCCATGGAGCAGCTGGTGGATTTGAACCACTGACCTTTTCTGGTTAGCAGCCATATGCCTTACTCACCATGCCACCAGAGCTGCTTTCTTCTTGCCCTTGAGGAGGTTAAATCCTTCTAGTGTGGAAAGCAAACAAGTAAATCAAGTAGTACAGTACAATTGTAAAGGGCTGTGATAAAGGTATATGTAAGATTGCAATGGAGGCACAAAGGAAAGGAATCTAATTTAGACTGAGTGGGATGACAGGGAAGGCTAACTAGAAGAGGTGACTGGACTTGAATTGTGAAAGGCAGCTATAAGTTAGCTATAAGTCGTAACAGGAGGATATGGCATTTTACAGGGAACATGAGAAGTTC